TATTCTACAGAGATAATAGTTTCAGTTCAATTTGCATCTTAAAAAGTCCTTACAGATAAGTAATAAATCTTCGTATTCAAATCTTGTTCAAAGTTCATGTAGCTGATGCTAAAATGAGCATGTTTCATGATTTAGAAAAAACAAGGTTAAGTAGTGCTGTCAACGGACCAAAGAAGCGAGGAAGTCGTCCAAGAATCAGTAATTTAGCCGATGTAACCTGCAGCATTTGTGGCCGGATGTTTAAATCTAGGTTCAGTTTGAAGGTTCATATGTACACACACACTGGTGAAAAGCCATATGAATGTAGTCTTTGTGGAAAAAGCTTCAACCAGAGAAGTAGTTATGGTAAGTTTGTTAACTTGTGTAGAAAGATTTTCCACCTTACAGGTAGTTACGATCAGTTTTATATCCTATTTAGGAAGAGTTAGATATCATAAGATGATGAGTTTTCTTCAACTTAACAAAATTTGTAAATTTTATAACTTGCGAAAGTGTTTATTTCTTTGGGGTAAGTTAGCAGTTTTGTATGTTTCAAACCAATAAAGTCATCTTTTAGTTTACTTACAGCTAGTACAGTATTTCATATTCTTGCTCTAAGTAATTGCTCTGATTTTGATATTTTATACATTTTAGAATATCGTGAAGCAGAAAGGAAATTAATATATAGATTAAGTACAAGTTTAGATATTTTGCTTAAGTTGACAGCTTTCAGTAATAGCTTGCATGGTTGGTTATTTATTAATATTGTTAACTTTAACTTTCTGAACAGTGATATTTTTAGTTTTAGCAGTAGTTTTATCTGGTAGCTGAATTGTTTCATTCTTTTTTATATAGAATCATTTATTGAACAGTGATATCTCGAGCCCTATTAGAAACTGTCTGTGCCATCTGTTGGCTAACATTGGAACTTTAACAATGTGTTTTGTTATGTGTTACATTGAATAGTTCACTGATTTGGAGCTAGCCTTTTTTCCTGCAGTGCCACAAACTTTGTTTTTTCCCATTCTTTACTGTAGTTTTCAATTTTATTTTAAGACCTTAGATATGAGGTGTTTGACTTAAGAGGTTCACTTGCAGGATATTCTGTTATGACTCATCTGCCTTTATTTTGACTGCTGTGTTGCTGAATGATTGCTGTTGTTTCCTACTTAATCAATTTGCCTATTCTAACTCACTCACAAGATAAGTAGTCACGAAAGTTATTTTTACAATTGAAAAGCTAGGTTTATCAAGTAATAAGGAAAGTGAACTCACTATTTAGTTATTCAATCAAAACTTTTGTTATGTATAGTTCAAAGAAAATTATTCCCTACCTATGCTGATTGTATCCTACTTGCCATCTGTTGGCAAGCTGTTGAAATTTTGCCACATATTGTAGTTTTTAGTTGACAGTTTGAGTAATGCAGTAACTGCATGCCCTGCTACTGTAGTCAGTTGATGAGGGTGAGTAAATATTGCCGTGTTTGGTAAGTTTTGCCTGTGTGTGGAATGAGTGTCAAGTTTTCAAACTTGAGTTAACGTGAGTGTCAAGCAGCATGATATACCTAAATATTTCATGGAATTATTACCAAGTAACATGATATACCTAAATATTTCATTGAATTATTACCAAGTAACATGATATACCTAAATATTTCATTGAATTATTACCAAGTAACATGATATACTTAAATATTTCATGGAATTATTACCAAGTAACATGATATACCTAAATAGTTCATGGAATTATTACCAAGTAACATGATATACCTAAATATTTCATGGATTTATTACCAAGTAACATGATATACCTAATTAGTTCATGGAATTATTACAAAGTAACATGATAT